CCATAGGAAACTTGGCTCTGATACAGAACTTTGGGGAGAAGACCCCCCCCCCCTTTTCTTTCTCTCTTTTCTGTTGCTATGTTTAAGAAAGGGTCTCACTATGTAGTCTTAGCTGGCCTGAACTCACTATAGAACCCTGGCTGACCTCAAACACAAAGATCCACCTACCTCTGCCTCCTAAGTATTGGAATTAAAGGCATCCACCCCCACCCCACCACCCAATTGTGCCAGAATATATCTTATAACAAAAAATCTTGCAATAGAGTCTCATGTAGCCCAGGCTGGCCTGAATCCATAGCCAAGGTGGGCATTAGATTTCTGGTCTTCCTGTTTCCCCCTCCCAAGTGCTGGGGTTACAGATAGGCACCACCATTCTTGAGTCCTCAGTTCTCTCCTGTCCTTAAGTTGTTCCCTGTCAGGCCTTGTCACTACTGTGACTCTCCCTATCAGCTCGATGCTTCCGGGTCTTTGAACTGTTCCTGGCTTTTTTTTACATCTCCAAGAAGGTGGGCAGAGGCAAGTGGGCTTCTCAGCCTCTGGGACAAGATGATCTCATGTAGCTCAGGCTGGCCTTGAACTCACTGTGTAGCCAAGGATGAGCTCAAAATTTTGATCCTCCTGCATCCACCTCCTCATCGCTAGGCATATAGGCACATGACACCACATACGAGTTACTATCTGCCCAGAATGCTGAGGGTTGAAGTCCAGCCTTGGACATGCTAGAAAAGCACTAGATAGACCCCCTAGTCACATCCCAGGCTTGAGAATCGGGCTTTCAGTACCAGATGCAGGTATGTCCTCCTCTGGCTCGGGAGCTAATAAATAAATAAGATGCCAACGAATATTTTTATTTGCTGGAACGGTTTACTAAAAAAGGAATGTCAGGCGGAAACTGGGTTCTTTTACATGTCTACCTTAGACATAGGCAGTTTCCCCTTAAAACACAGTGGATACTGGGCCAGAGAGATGGTTCAGTGGTTAAGAGCACTAGACTGTTCTTCCAAGGGCCACGCACGAGTTCAATTCCCAGCAACCACACGGTGGCTCACAACCATCTGTAATGGGATCTGACATCTTCTTTTGGTGTGGCTGGAGACAGCTACAAAGTGCTCATATACATAAAATAAATAAATCTTAGTCGGGCGGTGGTGGCTCATGCCTTTAATCCCAGCACTTGGGAGGCAGAGGCAGGTGGATTTCTGAGTTCGAGGCCAGCCAGAGCTACACAGAGAAACCCTGTCTCAAAAAAACCAAAAAAAAAAAAAAAAAGAATAAATAAATAAATCTTTAAACACACACACACACACACACACACACACACACACACACACGGTAAAGAACATTTTGGAGGGGTGCAGCCAAGGAGCATGGAGCATGAAGAGGTGCCGATTTCTGTAATGCTGAAGGTCCTTGGTCCATCTTCCCACTACATACGAACAGGCATCAGGGGCATTAAAGATGGCTCCAAGGCTGAGGGCATGGCTGCTTTTCTGCAGACCTGGCTTATGTCTAGTCCTGGTGGCTAACTAACACACAATCATCTGTAACTCCAGCTCTAGGAGATTGATGCCCTCTTCTGGCCTCCTTGGGCATCAAGCACAAAGACATACATGCACTCAGATATATGAGGAAAACACTCATGTGCGTGTATGGGGGGGGGAGGGGCCTTGAATAGCATCCTTAGGTTTAAACAAACACCAGGTTTCTTCCTGGGAAAAAAAACCTCTTGTACTGCAGGTGTGATCTGGGATTGTATCCAGCCAGCCCTGGGACGGTTACTTTGCAGATAAACTTGTGGCTGAGGTGGCCGACTGAAGGATGTTCTTGCAGGGTTTGGAGCACACAGGTGATCTGGTCTTGAGAACACCCACATGCTGTTGGGTGTGTGTGTGCATGGCTGTGGGTGTTGTCTCAAGGAATGTATAGAATGTGGTTGTAACTAGTAGAGCATAAGCCTCCAGTATTTTGTTATTTCAGTGGTTTCTTAATATGGCTATCAGTTTTCCCAGTGCATTATGGGAAAAATACATAATGCTGGGATCTGTCCCTGGACCAGTTGCTCTCAATCCTCCTAATGTTAAGGACCCTTTAACACAGTTCTTCACGTTGTGGTGACCCCCAGCCATAAAATTATTTCATTGTTACTTTGTTTTTTCCCCCTTCCTTTCTCCCTCTGGCTCCGGCCACAAGGTTTTTATTTATATATTATATCTAAGTACACTGTTGCTGTCTTCAGACACCCCATAAGAGGGCATCAGATCCCATTACCAATGGGTGTGAGCCACCATGTTGCTGGGAATTGAACTCATGACCTCTGGAAGAGCAGTCAGCGCTCTTAACCCCTGAGCCATCTCACCAGCCCCTCGTTGTTACTTTGTAACTGTGATTTTGCTACTGTTATGAATCATAATGTAAGTCTCTGATATGCAGGACAGCTGATAGTCAACCCCTGTGAAAGGGTTGTTCAGTCCCCAAAAAGGGGTCTGGACTCACAAATTAACAACCGCTGTCTTAGATTGATTTGGGGCTGGAGCCCAGGGAACTGTGAGCCCCATGCTCGTATCTCTTGGCATTTGAGAGGAAGCTGGAGAGATGGCTGGACAGTTCAGAGCATCTGTTGTTCTGACAGAGGACTGGGGATAGGCTCCCAGCACTCACATGCTGGCTCACTCATTTCAGGCACACATGTGGTGCACAGACATACATGTGAGCAAAACACCTACATGTATGATAAAATCCTAAAATCTTTTTTTTTTTTTTAGTTTATAAAAGCCACATTTAAGAGGTCAGTGTTACAGTTTGATCCATATGAGAGTCCGGCCTCCCTCCTTTCTAGCCTTTTTCTGTCTGGAGTGGAATTAAGGGACTGCATGTTAAGGGAGTACGTTGCCCATGACCCCACGACCAGGAGTTGAACGTTATCCTTGGCTACTTAGCAAATTTGAAGCCAGCCTGGGATACACAAGTCCTTGTTTCAAAAAGAGAAAAGGCAGCTGGGCAGTGATGGTGCACGCCTTTAATCCCAGCACTTGGGAGGCAGAGGCAGGTGGATTTCTGAGTTCGAGGCCAGCCTGGTCTACAGAGTGAGTTCCAGGACAGCCCAGGGCTACACAGAGAAACCCTGTCTCGAAAAACCAAAAAAAACAAACAAACAAAAAAACCAAACAAACCAAAACAAAACAGAGAAAAGGGTGCCTGGGGCCAGAGCTGGGTACGGAGGCTCACAGCTGCAATGCCAGCACTTGGGAGGCTGAGGCAGGAGGATTGTTCTGTGCCAGGCCATAACTTGAGTCTCCGTTTGTAGCCTAGTGTACTGGCTGGTTTTGTGTGTCAATTTGACTCAGCTGGAGTTATCACAGAGAAAGGAGCCTCCGTTGAGGAAATGCCTCCACGAGATCCAGCTGTAAGGCATTTTCTCAATTAGTGATCAACGGTGGAGGGCCCAGCCCATTGTGGGCGGGGCCATCCCTGGACTGGTGGTCCTGGGTTCTACAAGAAAGCAAGCTGAGCAAGCCAGCGGGAGCAAGCCAGTTAGCAGCACCTCTCCATGGCCTATCTGCATCAGCTCCTGCCTCCAGGTTCCTGCCCTGTGTGAGTTCCTGTCCTGACTTCCTTCAGTGATGAACAGCAATGTGGAAGTGTAAGCTGAATAAAGCCTTTCCTCTGCAACTTGCTTCTTGGTCATGACATTTTGTGCAGGACTACAAACCCCGACTGGCTTGAATCTCAAGACACTCCTCTTGCCTCAACCTCCCAAGTGCTGGCGTTGCAGCTGTGAGCCTCCATACCCAGCTCCGCCCCAGCCAGCTTTTTTTCTTTTTTGAAACAAGGACTCGTGCATTCTAGGCTGGCTTCAAACTTGCTAAGTGCCAAGGATAACACTTAGCACTGGTCCTGGTCCTGGGGTTGTGGGCAAGCATCCCCATGCCTGGTTAACCTTTCTCTTAGCTTTCACATTAAATTATTCTGTTAGTTTTGATTGATCCAGGGCCGTTCGTGTGTCAGCTTCACTGTGGTGAGGTCATACATCTACATCCATCGGTCTCTTGTGAGCCCAGTTGAGAGATAAATTAAGAATGACCTGATGAACTTCAGCATCGGAGTGCTGGACTCTGGGTCCTCCCGTGCACACAGCAGGTCCAGAATGTCTGGTATACCTAATCTTTAAGTTGAGAGGGTGGGACCGAGAGACTCCCTCACCAGCAGTGACCGTTGCAGCCAACGTGGAGGAAGAGTGGGAGTACACCTGGCTCTTCTGCACTGCACAGCTAGGACCAGGCAATTTTAAGACATGACAGCCTGACTTCTTCAGTGACCAGGTATTGCGTTTGGGACCTTAAATTGTGTCTCAAAGGCTACGTGGTGAGTTAACAGCTGATGTTAACTTTGAGAGGTGAGGACTAAGGGAAGAGCGCTGGGTCACTGGGGTTGTATCCTTCAGGTGGATACTGGGGACCATTCTGGTCCCTCCCGGCAGCTATTTCCAGCGGTTTCCCTTTATGACAGATTGCCTTGCCTTGGACCCCAGAAGCAAGCAATGCACCTAACCCAGCGCAGAGACCTCTGCAATTATATGCTAAGGACTCAAGATGCTTTATACTTTTAGCGTTTTTTTTTTTGGGGGGGGGTATGGTATTTGTTTTGATACAGGACCACTCTGTAGCCTTGGCTGGCCTGGAAGTCACTGTGTAGACCAGGCTGGCTTTGGGCTGAGACATCTGCCTGCCTCTGCCTAGGATTAAAGGTGGGCACCACCAGGTCCAGCTTGATTTCAATTTGTCCAATCCCAGCCACAGGCAATGGAACTGGAAAGGAGAACTCTGGGGTGGCGCCAGCACTGTTCCTCCAAGTCTCCTGCAATTGTTGAGAAGAGCATTGAAGTTAATGGGTACAAGAAATCTAAAAACCAAAGGTGCTCACAGTAATCATAGGGGAAGAGCACACTGGACGTCCTAGCGAGAACTAGAGGCAAAGCCCTGTACAGACAGGCACTCACCGGACATTATAAAGAAAGTGTTTATTCTCATCACGAGAAGCACGCAGACTATATATACAGTACACACCAACAGAAGTAAAAAACAAAAGTGCACTATGCCTCTTCTACTGAAAATTCACAGTACAAAAGATACTGCCTTTTAAATATATATTTTTTTAAAAAAGGAAGAAAAACAATACCAAAAAAAAAAAAAAACCAACAGGTCAAAGTTGTAATCCGACGAGGGAACCCAGCGCCGGCGGCCTTTGAAAGGTGAAGGACGAGGTCTGGCGAGGCTCCTCTGAGGTATGCTGTACCCTTAACTCATAAGGGAGCTCAGGACACAGGCAGAGGAGGAGGAGGGAGTGTGAAGAGGGGCTAGGTGGTGGCAAGCCTCTATAAACCAGAGGGCGGGCGGCCTTGAGGGGTTCAGGGGAAGGTCTTGGGCTGTGGTTCAGGGAGAGCTGGGCCTGCACCACCCCTTGGCTGCCTGGCAAACCAAATTCCATCCTTCATCACCGGCTACCTCAGGCTGCAGTGTGTGCTGATGCAGGCATGGCCTGTGGGGACTCGGCAGCGGAGTTTCTAGCAGGCTCTGAGGAATAGTCGGGGCCCACAGTGTCAACTGCATAGCAGATTAACACAAGCGGATGGGGGTAGGGAGGAAATCACTCACGTCTTATCTTAACCAGCAGGACCGGCCATGAAAGATGAGAGTTGAATGGTTGCGCATAAATACACAGTATTTGTAAACGATTATTAAGGCACTCAATTGTAAAAGAATAATTACAGGGTAGAGAGGGAAGCAGCTGTCTTCTCATGCAGCAAGGCCAAAGGCCAGGGTGGCAGAGGCTGTGTCTAAGACAGGGACCAAAGGAGGGTCTGTGGTATCTACTGCAAAAGGGAACTGAGGTGGTCACCCTTTGCCAGATGGCCCCTCTGTAGATAGGTCCGGGGTGACTTCCCTGAAAAGCTGGAGGACACAGTATGTGGTAAGGAACAGCACACACCAGGTCTGATCGAGTAGGATTCACTTATATGTATGTATAATGCATACACAAGGCATATACACATGTATACGTATCTCCATGCACACTGGACTCTCAATCACACCTCCACAGTAGCAAAAACAAGGGGCTTTGGATAGGGAAACACCAATGACCTTCATCTGGTCTTATGGTCAGCAGGAACCTAGCCTCTAGGGTGGGTGGGACCGAGAGTCTCCCTCACCAGCAGTGACATTGGAGCCAACATGGGAGGAGTTGGGAGTCCCCCTGGCTCTTCTGGATTGCACAGCTAGAGTCAGGCAAGTGGTCCTAGGTACTCTGGTTACTCTGAAGGGGTTGTACATGTCTCAAGAGCCCTGCTAAGTCTAAGTGTCAGCCAGGGTTGTACCTGCCTCAAGAGCCCTGCTAAGTGTCAGCCAACGCATTGGGGTTGGAAATGAATTCTCACACCAATAACTGCCGGCGGTAGACGGTAACTCTTTTAAGGGGTGATGTGTGATGTCTCTTGTGATCTTGTTCTCGCTAAGGAGAAATGGTTCCCGAAGACCAGGAGATTTGCAAGCCTTCCGGGGTGGTTCCTGAGAAGGGCGCCCACAAAAGTACAGGGTGGTTGTCAACATCTGATCTCTCCACACTTGGTTCCATCCTGAGGCGCAAAGCACTCTGGGCTTTTCTAGGGTAGAGGATGCTGGGCCGGATCTTCAGCTAGATCAAACAGCTGAGCAAAGGGAGCAGAGCCGCGCAGCTATCTGGGTACCCGTGACAGACCAGCATGGCCGAGCCACGGGGATGAGCTTTGCGTGGCTGGGAGGACTTGTGCACTGAGAATAAGGGGTGGGGGATCTGAGAAAGACACCTTGCTCTTAGTTCACGCCATCAGGCATTCTGACTCCCCCCCACCCCGCTCCCTCTGCCCAGTATCATTTCTCTTACGCTTCAGGAAGCCGCCACATGGTTCAGGTTTTGAGTGGGTCTGTAAAATTCCCGGGCCATCAAGTTGTGTAGAAAGCTCTTCATTCAGCAAGGACATTCAGTGAAATTGGCAGTCATCAGAACTCGTGGATTACGCTGCATAAATCCTTGTACTGCTGCTTGCTAAGATTATACACAAGGCTAAATTAGCCAGCCATGGAGCAGCTTACAAAGTTAATATTTTTTTTTGGGGGGAGGGAAGTGTGTCAGGGTTTACATAGCCCTGGACTCAGTGACCCACCCGTCTGTGCATCACAAGTGTGTGTCACCGAGCTTAGCTGGAACAGATTTTTTCCTGAGACAATATGGGAGTTGTCACTGCCTTAGCTTAGCGGGATAGTTTCACAGAAGCCTTTCGGTTAAATGCCAATTCACTGTGTTTACAGATAGAGCCAATCCTCCAGGAAGAATGGACGCCGCCGTCATGCATGCCAAGGATTTTGGTCTAATGCTGGGGAGCTACTCCCTGCGTTCGCACTGTTCGATGATCTGTCAGTGCCTGTAAGACAGGTGTCTGCCAGGAGCCAGAGACCTGCTTGAGTTCATTCTCCTCCTGTCCTGACTTTTTTTTTTTTTTTTTTTTTTTTTGGTTTTTTGAGACAGGGTTTCTCTGTGTAGCCCTGGCTGTTCTGTAACTCACTCTGTAGACCAGGCTGGCCTCGAACTCAGAAATCCGCCTGCCTCTGCCTCTCAAGTGCTGCACCACATGGGATTAAAGGCATGCACCACCACTGCCCGGCTCTGTCCTGACTCTTTCAATAGAACAGGACAAATTACGGTTTTCAAAATGAGAAGTTTTCAAAATCCCATTGCTCTACAGATGGGATTAAAAAAACACAGCAGAAAGCCTATCATTACCAAATCTAAGTAATTATTTTGACACAAAAATTGACCCACCGTGTGAAATTGAACTTGGCGATGTATATTAAACTTGGCCTTTTTTTTTTTTGCTTTTGTTGGCTGAGGGAAGAGTAGGAGAAACCCACAGGGTTTCAGGAGTAAGTGGATGATCACCAGGGAGAAAAGTTCTGAGACAAAGGTCATAAAGGTCATAAAGACCCCATATGAATGAAAAGAGAACTGGCCTGGTTCCTGGAGATGCCCGGGGCATTCACCAAGATGGCTGTTTTGAGACTCTGTTCGTTCTAACCAGTGTGGGAGGACCCCCGCCTGTGTACTTGCACAACAGACCATATCCTTGAAGACTTGTGGTCTTACTGAGCTGTCTGGCTGAACCAGCCAACGGCAGGACGGAGCTGTGGTCATCTCCACAATGACTCCATCCGCTCAAGAGGTAAAGGGGCAGGCTGGCAAGTTTGGAGTGTAGGAGGGAAGGATTTGGTCTGTGATATCCAAGGAGCAAAGACAGCCTTCAAATCGTCCCGTCTTCCTGCAGTGTTACAAGCAGCCCTGGGGCATCACATAAATCAGTCAGCAAGCTTTCTACGAGGGTCACAGCAGACATCCGAAGAAGGTAACACCATCTCTGGCAAGGTTACTTACTACTTCTGAGGTAGACTCTCATTTTGTGGTCCAGCCTGGCCTTTAACTCATGGCGGACCTGCATCAACCTCCTAAGCGTAGACCAGAAGTCTGTGCAACAACTCTCGACGCCATTTACCCTTAAAAATGTAACAAGCAAACCTGGGGCATGATGGAATTACACCTGTAATCTCAGCATTTGGGAGGCTGAGGCAAGAGGACTGCTTTGAGTCTGAAGCCAGCTTGAACTACAGGATGAGAGTCTACCTCAAAAACAAAAACAAACAAACAAACAAACAAACAAAACCCTTGAGAGGCAGAGGCAGATGTATCTCCATTGAGTTTGAGGCCTATTTGGTCTACAGAGAAAGTTCCAAGACAGGAGAGGCTACCTTGTGAGACTTCGTCTCAAATTCAAGAAAGAAAAAAAGAAAGAAAAAAAGAAAGAAAGAACAGAAGGACGGTGGGCAGGGTGTCAGAGAGATTGAAAGGAACGAAGGAAGGAAGGAGAGAAGGAAGGAAAGAAGGAAGGAAAGAAGGAAGGAAGACATTGTAAATCCCAGCACTAAGGAAGTAGAGACAGGCAGATCTCTGAGTTTGAGGCCAGCCTGATCTACAGAGCAACCCTGTCTCAGAAAACCAAAACCAAACCCCAAAACATCAACAGAGCCCATGGTGATCTCACAGGGCTGTGGACCACCGTTGGCCAAACACCAAGTCAAGGCTTTCTGCCGTCTGCCTCTGCTTGTCTCTCTTCAAAACCCTTTTCATGATGGGCATCAGGCGAGGCTCAGTATTTGAACCCAGAGCCCAAGCATCCTGCTTCACTGAGCTAACCTGCAGTCATACTGTGCCCCATGATTACAGCGTGGGGGAGCCGGGGACAAGGAAGCAGTGTTCTATTTTCCCCATGGAAAGAGACACCTGTAAACATCCGTGCAGCTTTCCAACAGACACTCCTCTCAGAGTGGCTCCTGGGGAGGGGCCTGTAAGAAAGTACCCGTTGCTGACCTGGCAGTCCTCTCAGCAAACGTGAAGAGGGCTCCTAGTGAGCCTGGGGCTTACATCGTCTCAGAGGGATGCTCCATACCCCAGACCCACCACCTCCGGACATGAGGTCATCCCAATCCCAAACACAACGATGCCTTGTTAGCAGCAGGAGAGGCTCAGCGGGGCCTTCTCTGTGACTGGGTGACGTGAGCTTGAAGCCAGCAGCTGAGGACCCGCATCCGAGACCATGGGCACCAGAATGGAATTTTACATGAGTCACTGCCACTAAGCGCCTTCCTCTGATGAGAGATCACCTAGCTGTTCTCAGGATGGTCAGGTTCAGAGTCTTGACACTTCTGCGCCGACCCCCTCCCCCCAAAAAAAACAAAACACAAAAACCCAATCCCCCAGCCCCACCCCCAATTCTTTTGGAAAATCCCGTCTGGACACAGCATTGTTCCTCAGAACGTTACTATTTTATAAACAAAATGCACAGTGAGCAGAGAGGTAGGCCTTGTGTTATCCTCTGAGGATTCTCCCTCGAGGACCGGAATGACCGGGACCGTGGGCTGCAGTGACCTTACCACCATGGCTCTTCACATGTTGCAAACTGAGTAGTTTGTACAGATGCACACATTTTTTTTTCCTCTCTCCACCAGGCTGGCCTAAAATTCATCATGTAGATGACTTTGAACTTCTAATCCTTCTGCTTGCACCTCCAGTGTTGGGATCTCAGTGTGCGCGACCATGCCTGGTTTTATGGGCTGCCAGGGAATCAAATCTAGGGCTTGGTGCGTGTCAGGCACATACTTTTAACAACCGAGACACAGCCCCAGCCTGTGTGCACACATCTGAACGGGACTCCTGGCTGACAGTCTCCAGGTTGCCCAGGCTCCCCCCCTGACCTGTGTCCCCTCTCACAGGCTCTCAGTGGGGAAAGCTCAGAGGACTGAAGTTGTTAACTCAAAATCAAGACGTGAGAGTAGCTCAGGACATTATGAAAACCTCAGAGAGCTGAAAGCCGGTCAGCTTTTGTTTAGCCTCAACGGGCTTTTCAAGTTTTCTGGGGCGGATTTCCCTGATGGTTTGGAGGTTGCAGCAGGATCCCTTGGTGCAGCCTGGGGTTCGGGCAAGAAGGAAGAGAGACTGCACTTGGCATCCTGCGAGTCGGCGATGGTGGACGTGTCTGCCTCACTGGACAGGTCCTCCGTGGAGAAGTTGAGACTTCCCAGCTTGGCGAGGGAATGGGACCGTTTCAGCGGGGACGACAGGGTGAGGCCGGCCAGGCGGAGCCGAGTCTCGATCTCCTGGGCACGCTGTTTCACCAGCCCTGGCTTCCCTCGGACGCTGTGGATGCTGTCGCTGCTGGAGCTCCGGGTCAGGTTGGAGCTGATGGAGGAGGAGGTGGGGGTGTAGCACACGGTCTTCAGGAAGTCTTTCGAGAAGTTACTGGTGTGATCTAGGCGGAGGAGAGTAGATGTCGGGCTCTTCTGCAAGGTTCCTCCTACGGGTTTCTCTTCGGACCCGGCTTGGCTGCACGGGGCTGGATGTGCAGGCTCCTGGCCCTCCTCGGGGATGCTGGCCTCCAGCCTGCTGGTGGCACTGTCCCTGCAGGTAGATGATGAGTCTGAAGGCAGGCTCTTCAACCTCTCCAGCTCTTTGGTGTGCTTTCGGACCAGGCCCGCCTTCTGCAACTGAATGATGGATTCCTGATGCTGCATCAGGTAGCTATTGGTCGTCGGCTTCTCCACCTCATTACTGAACAGAAGCCTCAGGTCCTTAGCCGGCTTCGGATCTTTCTTAGGCGATGGTTCTTCCCTCGCTGCTTCCGTACTGGCCACGCTCTTATCACAGTGAGAATTCTTCAACGGGAGAGATTTTGAAAGGGCCTTTGAAGTCTCCCTGGAAGGCTCTAGAAGGTTTGCTGGTGGTTCTGGGGCAGCCCCGGCCCCAGAGCTACTGACATCTGGCTTCTTGGAGCCTGCTGGTAGTAGGAACGGAGAGGTGTTGGCTGGACCAGAGGCCGGCCTCTCTGGAACTCGGGACCTGCTGCTCGAGTGGGCCACTGGGGAAGATGTGACGTGGGGGAGGAAGGTTGGCTGGGTGCAGATGGCAGAGGAGCTGGGGTCTTCATGCCGCTCCGTGAAGGCCTCGGGAGTCCCGCCAGCTGCGGGGTACATGCAGTCGGCACAGGAAGTGTAGGGAGGCTTCACTTTGCTGAGGATTCCAAATGCGGCATCCCGCTGCAAGAGACAGAGCACAGAGCACAGTGAGGCAGTGTGATCCCACGTGGATGATGGAAAGCACAAAGAGGGTGACGGGTTGGCACCGTGGCGGGGCAGTGCTTTCTTTTTTCTTTCTTTTTCTTTTCTTTTTTTTTTTTGCTTTTTTGAGACAGGGTTTCTCTGTGTAGCCCTGGCTGTCCTGGAACTCACTCTGTAGACCAGGCTGGCCTCGAACTCAGAAATCCGCCTGCCTCTGCCTCCCAAGTGCTGGGATTAAAGGCATGCGCCATCCCCCTGCCTCCGGCAGTGCTTTCATCTCATTTATTCATGATTACAGACCCTTTAGTGGACACACTGGATCATGAACAGAAGTTAGCGCAGTGTAAGAGATGTCAGTCTTGACTTTCCACAAGGCAAGATGGTGTCCTGGGCAAACCTTAAGCCATAGGGCTGGGACAGAGACTCCCAGGATGCCACTTCTTGCTTCTCTGTCCATTTCTACCACCCACCAGGCTGACCCTTCCCTGGCCATGGTCTGGTCTGGAAAGCAGGGTGCAGGCACAGGCGAGCAGAACAGACTGATAGGTCTGGAGAGGCAGCTCACTGGTTAAGAACACTTCCAGCCCTTCCAGAGGATCTGAGTTCAGTTCCCAGCACCCATGCCAGACAGTTCACGACTGCCTGGAACTCCAGCTCCAGGGTATCTCCAGCGCCACTGCCTTCCGTGACCACTAGCATTCGTTAACCACACACAGAGACGCCATTTAACGTTAAGATTTAAAAACAAAACAACTAGAGTTAAAAACAAGAAAGAACCGAACAGAATTGACACCGACCGCACCATAGAAAGAGGGTTCTCAGCTGGGCGGTG